AAATAAGTAGCTCCATGGAAATCTATATGGTTAATTTGCGCTGTACAACTAGTGCAATTCAAAGTGCTTTAGATAATTTTTAAAAGGTTTTTATGTTTTATTTTTTCTATTTACATAAACCTCTCCTAGAAATCTAGCGTAAGATTCCTCCATCTTCTTTTGAGAATGTATTTCACTATACACTGGAGATTAGAGACTACTTATAATAGCTAAGGGCAGCTGATATATTAGATAATGTACAGCAACCTTGTACAGTGTAGGCCAAAATGGAAACTGCTTTACAATGCAGCATTATCTGTTAACACTGCAAAACGTCTAGTTAGTGATTCAGCTCTTTAGAACATGACAAGATAGTCCTTTGAGTAATGAATTTCATGAATTAAAAGTTATAGCAGATTATTCAAAGCCTCCTGCAGCAAGCGAACACAAGCTATGTGTTTGTATATTTCCAGTGCCAAGCTTCAAGTTTATCACTAGTCTTTAGTGTAAAATGTAAAAAGCACACTACCTTTAGATATTTATATATTTTTTTCACTGATTAGATTTTTTTTAGATGGTATACATATCTGTTTATTTTATTATTGTTCCCCTTTTGCATATTTTTAAGTAAAGATACTTCTTTAAAGATATTTGCATGTGTTCTGCCAAGATGTTGCAAAATATTACAGAATACTGCATGAATTAAAAGATTGATTTGGCAAAAAATAAAACACATGGGAGCATTTTGTGAATAGGGCCAGAGCAGACTCGATAGGCCAGATTTCATTTTCAACAATTTTAAAACCAAATAAGAGAAATTCAAACAGGAATATAAACTGATTAGACGAACATAGCTGTGGTCACATTTGCTTTAATTTTACATTCCATATGAGTATCCATCATAGCTTGGGAGCCAGACACCCTAGTTTAAACAAGTAATGCTGCATCTTTAAAACCTAACATTAAAAGCTATGCTTCAAATCTCAGATTTAAAAAAAATATTTTAGACATAATTTGTCTGCTGTCACATTTACAAAAGTCAGCAAATAGCATGATTCTTTTTGCCTATTGTAATGTAAAATATGATAATACACACAAATCTTAATTTGCATCTTGTACTGATACAATTAAACTTTAAAAAAATATGACACTATAGATTTATGACCCACTTATATATATATTTTTTTATAATTAGGCACTGCTCCTGTAAGTTTTACAAAATAATCAAGTGTTCTTGACAAGCTATGAAACAGCCTCTTAAAGCCGTAGAAACCATTAAACTGCTTTACTTTTTCTCCTTGCCACAGGTATCAGTTTTTTAGAAATCTTCAGGCTAAAAAAGTGAAATAAAATGCCATTATTTTCCATAACAAAAATTCTTGTTTTATTCAGACATATTGCAGCATTTGTTTTTTTTTTTTTACTTGTGATATAATTAATACTAATAGGCTGTAAAATCATATCAAAAAGTCAAAAGCTATTACTATCAAATAATATTGTAAAGCTTAAGTAAATGGCTTGAAGTATAAGTGTGACCAATATCTTGACCCATCTTTAACATACTGAAAAGACAGTAAAACTTGCCTCTACTTTATATTCTTTCCATTTTCTCTGCTGGGAGTTCAAAATATCCACTGACTTTCGATTTAGAAATTAAGAAAAGTTTCTCAGTTGGTTTATATTATTGCATGACAAGAAAGCATCTTAAGAGATGGATAAAGGCTCACAATAAAAAAATAAATAGTGCACTCTTTTTTCATTAAGTGCAGTACTGCAGAACTTTGTTGCTCAGCAGCTTTGTTGGCCCTAGGACTGCATCCCATATTCTAATTAATCAAATTTGGTGCAGCGACTTTCTAGCTGTTGTGCTTTTGTTACAGCTTAGCTAGCGAGACTGATTGGCCTGATCTCTGAATTGAGCAGCATCATTGATTTGAAGATTGGGGAAACAGCACAACGCCATTTTACTTGGCATGGATAAGCCTTGGAAAACACATCTCACTCCCTCTCATGGACACATGCTAATATTGGCAGCCAGAGGTGTCTAGAGATGCATATATGTGCGCATGATCTCCTATTTGGCATCACTGAGTGACCCAGCTGAGGGGATCAGGCTACTCTCTGGATCACAATGTGAATGCTATTTTGAGCATTTTGTTTACTTTCCAAAAACATTTAGCCTATCAAGATCATTATCCCTTTCAGAATTTCATATCGTCTGCTCTTTTCTTCTGCTCCATTTCGTTGTCTCCTAGTGTGCATTTTCTTTTTTTGTGCTCCATGTGTATCTTTCCATCTCTATGATTTCATTGAATTTTTTTCTTTCCTTGGCTTCAAATAGCGCTGTTGACTGCTTGGCTGGTTTGGCACAATATTGAGCCTCCCAACAGGTAAACATGCTTTGTCTGCAATAAAAAATTCCTCACACTCACACAAGTCTCTACCCTACCCAGAATAAAATAGAGAAATACCTGTTTAAATCTGCAGCACAACCTGTTTTTGTTTTGTGTTTATCAGGTAATATCTTGCAAAAGTATTTATATGCCTTGAACCTTTTGGACTTTTCTCAGAAATATAAACAAAATCCACTATAAATGAGAAGCCAAGCAAAGAGAGCATACAATCAGGGACGAACCCAAGAGCGAAACAGTTAATCGGGGGGAGCTGCAGAGATCCACAGCTAAGGTGATAAGCTCTGTTAACAGGAGAACTATTAATTGTGCCCTTCACAAAACTGATGTTTATCAGAGTAGCATAAAGACAATCTATTAAGAGAAAGGAATACAGAGTGATGTTCGCAAATAGACAGAATAGTGTTCTGATCAGATGATATCCAAACTTAACCTCCTGTCCTGAATGCAAAAGAATGTCCGGGAGAAAACTCCTCAAGCACACAACTCTCACCATGGAACATATTGGTTGGGGCATCTCTACCAGGCAGAAAAGGAGGACTGATCAGAGTTGATGTGAATATAGAAATAGATAACCACAAGGTAGGTGGTGGAAGAAAATCTGTTAGAAGGTTGCAAAAAATTAAGGCCAACACAGCCTCCACCACTGACACATGGCTGGAGTTTCAATTGAATGGTTTTCTCACACTATCTTCATATGATAGACCTGTGCAGCAAAGTCCTGAGCTAAATACAAATTAGAAACATCCAGTCTAACTCAGCCTGAGCTTTTTTTTTTACAAAAAAAAAAAATGGGGAAAAAATGTATTTTCTCTGGAAGGGCAAAGCTGCTGGAGACATCTCAAAAAGACTAGCTATACAGAGTTACAGGGACTACAAACATGTCACATTGCTCAGATTTCCAATGCTGTGCCACTTTGTGCTAATCCATCACAAAAACTCCCACTAAGGTACATTGAAGTTGGTGCCTGCATCACTGAAATTGTGAAGAAAGTTCCAGGGCTACGGTTACTTTTGTGATGCACTATGTGAAAGCTGTGTGAGATGATGCGTGTGTTTTCTCAGACTTTCATCTGTCCTTCAGTTTAGTACAACTTCCTGTACACGTGAATTTCTGCATCTTGCTAACAGCGCACACCCTTTTTGGATGTGTGTGTATGTGGGTCTCTCTCACTTTGTCTGCACAGGGTGCATTATTGGATGCAGTAGACCGGACACCGCCAGAGGCGTACACTGAGCGGTCACGCGGCGTGACAGAGAAGAGAGCAGAGTCGCTGTCAGAAGACCTTTTTAACACACTGCTGCTCTCCATTCGGGGACATTGCAGGAGCGGTTGACTGCAAAAGGATTCTGCGAAGGGATGATAAACACAGTTCTCCAAAAACACCCGCAGAGAGACCACTGAAGCCCCAGAGGCTCCCTACCTGAAAACACATCGCTAATACCTTTGATCTATCCAAAGAGATGTGCGAAGTGGGGAAAAAAATGGGAAAGAACAGTTTGGATACTCAAGCGGATGCACCGTTAAAGTGAGACAGTAGTAACACATTTTTGATAAATCCCTTTTAAACGGGTGTTAGAGTTGGTAGAATTTAACTTTATTAGGTTTTATTCTTGTTCTTTAACTAGTCTGTGCATGTAGCTAAAACTAAGTTTATCTTATTTTCTTTCATCCAATCATGTTGTCCTGAATGAGAAAATATTTGGTTTTGACCTGTAGTTGTCTTTCTTTTTATTAAGACCACTGACCGTTTTTCAGCATCTGAAATGTTAGTCCAAATGAAATACCTTGAAGAATGCAATTAACTTTCACATCCTTAAAGGTCAGCTTTAAGTTATCAGCTACTCCTGAACACTTGCTGTAAATAAGTAGTGTTAGAAATGTTGTGAGAGTTATCCTAATTTTTTTTAAATAGTTTTCAAAGAATAGATAGATGTTAGGGAAACACACAGTTATGACTTGATTTATGTTAAGTGATTTAAATGTTGTGCCTAAAAGCATTTTCTTTAATTTTCTCAATCACAACATTGTCCTCTCCCCTGTTGGTGAGCTTTAGCATATTGGTCATTAAAATCTAAGATAGCTGAGGGCAACTTTATACATAAATTAACCAGCAAAATACTGCATCCAAGCAGCTTCTGCCATTGCAGCTTTTCTCATAAAGTTGCAAAGATAGTTGAAATTCAAAATTTGCAGTTCTCTACATAAGACAAAAAAATATATAGATAAGGAAACTAAATGTTTAATTTTCTTTCATGACTACTACTCACTCCTGCAGGGTTTGAAAAGTGAAGGAGAGTAGCAGTCAACAAGAGAACATTCATACACAGTTTGTAATTTAGCACAGTAGAAGGCCAATTCATGTAGCTTGGGAAAACAAAGCAAACAGAAGAGGAGGAGTGGACAATCTGCATGTAGCGTACCTTTAGACTGCCTTGTTTTAGTAAACAACACATGGCCCGTTTTGCTTGTTTGATGCTGTGATTCTTGTCTCTTTATTAACAGCATCAATGATGCCAGAAAGTTGATCTTGTGATGTTGCCCTTTTTGCAAAAGAAAATCTGGGGTGAGGATTAAAAAAACAAAAAAATATATATGTTTTTACCATTAAAAAAACAAAAACAAACTGGTAAAATGTGGGTTTGCTTCAAGTCAGTTCTCCCCTTCACATTTATATTACCTGCTAGCCCACCATATAATCTTTACCTCCTACTTCCCTTTGGTGTCCACGTACAACCACATACATTAGATCATTCTAATTTTAGTTAGGCATTTCAGTGAATTATGCTGGAAAAGTATAATCAACAGTAACATTTTACTTCTATTTTTAATCCTAATCTTGATTTATCTCTCAGTTTAGAGCCAATAATCACCAATAAAATATGTCAGTTTTTAACCCCAGCTCAAACTAAAGTTTAACAGATGATTCCAAGTGGACGACATTTATGGTAGTCACATAACCCAACAAGCTTAAAGCAGACTTTGAGTAAAATGTAAAAAAAAATAAAACTTTAAATCATAAGTCTTCATGTACCTCTGGCAGTTACCGATTGATTCGGTCAGTATGAAGACAAATTATTTGGCTGAAAAAGATGATATACGAACTATACCTGTCAAAGTGCACAAAGTTACAACATAAACTATTCATGGAGACGATGATAAAGACAAACTGTATTAATTCTATATAAGGGTGTCCTTTGTTATAAAGTCGCTTGAGATTACACTTGCTTTAAATTCTGTATTTAAACTAAACTGATTTAGAATCTTTGAAAAAGAGGAACAAATTGTTTCGAGGTTATTTGCAAAACTGTGACAAGAAGTTATGACTTTCATTTAATCAATATCTATAGCTGTATATCTAACATCTGTATCAATATTAACAGATGCCACCCTGTTTTCTGCCTTGTCTAACAGTTTCTGAGGCTTGGATATTAAAAAATGCTTTTTCATGCAGTGATTCGGTTCTAATCAAACTTACTTCTCTCTGCTTTTATTTATTCTAAAATTGCACAAATGAAAGTATTAGACTTGCTGTGGTTTTTTGTGGTATTTAGTACTTTTGCTCGCCCACATGCCTGAAAGCTTTATTATACCGCTCAGTTCTGATATTATCACTATTTTTGCTATCGCTTCACCAACAGTGGAGTATTATGTTCTCTGTCACCTAAACATCCATCATAGACCATTTCAGCGCAGGGTCGATTATCCTTTTTACTAATATTTACAGAGAAGGTTATTTACCCAAAATATTAGCACAGTATGGTGAAATGAGCTTAAATAATGCACACAGCTATGGTGGGGAAAGTAGTTTTTTTCTTTGTTCCTCAAAGCCCTTTTAGCTCAGCGTTTTAACACCCCAACACACACTCTCGTTTACACATGCACATATTTTCTGTCCAGAAGTGACAAGCTTCAGAGCACTTTGACAAATTAGCTTTTCAGTCTGCTGCAATGCTTTTCACTTTTCCTTTCACCCCCTTTTTTTTTATATTCAGTCCCACTGGCTGTTTTTGCTCCCAATTCCCTCTGGGCCTTCTGAAGCACAGCAGAGGTCACAATCACATCTCCTCCGTGGTTAAAAGCCAAATGCACCTGTGTGTCAAAGGGCAGAGCTGTCTGAGAACAACCAGTCCCAGAATTCAAAACTGGATATTAGCTAGAGGGCTGTTACAAAAGAAAATGAAACGTGGTATTTAAGTGCAAAGTGTGAAAAGAGTTTTTCTTCCATTCTTAGTATTCACAAACACCTCCAAAACAAATGAAACTGACTTGTAATATAAAATCATTTTCAAATCTGACATTGGCTACATCCTGATGAAGGATAAAATATGCAATGTTGAACATGTTGGGAATCTAGTATAAAAATTTTACCAATTAGTAGTAACAAAAACAAAATGACTGTCATTTATTTAACAAGAAAGATAGAAGTAAAAATAAAATAAAATAAAATCCACAACTTGTGTGGCCTGGGGGGAGGAAAGGAGAAATTTCTGTGACAAATCTTTGGGGCTCCTTGGGAAATCTTTGGGTTAGGTTGACATAGGTGCCTTTTCATGACACCTTTTCCACACCCCACTGTAAATCTCAGTGAGGCTGTGAAGTTCTGAGAGGCTGAAGGTGTGAGGATTGACAGGATTTCTGAGCCTGCACCTGGGGTTCAGCGTTAAAGCAGGGAAGGCCTCTCGTCGGAGGAGGCAGCTGCTTTGTCTGGTAAGCCGGAGGCCCTGAAGAACTACCTAATTTCAGAGAGGCAAAGCCACCAGTACCTCCTGAATTGCACGCAGGGAGAGACATTTGCTTGTTGATGCGAGGAGACTGCAGCATGCGAGGGCGAGCCGATCGAGCTGATCTTGGAGCGTCAGAGTTCTGCGCTGTCACAGCAGGAGCTCTCCTCCCAAGCTGTGAAGAGGACTGAGGTGCTGACGCTCGACCGTCTATGCCAGTTATTCCCTGTAGAGCGCCGGAGCGGAGGCTGCGCAGGTTGGTCCTGGGCAGATGACTCAGCTTGTCAGAGCCTGCCGCCCCTGACATATCTACTTTAGTAGCTTCAAGAGGACGGTCATTATCTATGCAAGTGGCTTCCTCTGATCTGTTCCATGTGAGCTTACTGTGGCCCTCGGTGGGGGGAATTTTTATTAGTCTTTCCTGGTCCGGCTGCTCGTTGAGATTGGGGTTGAAAGGCTGAAGCGTTCGAGGCTGCAGAAGAAAAATGAAAAGGATTAAAACAGAGAATAGTCATTGTTTTCAGAGGTGGTGTGGTTTTGATCCCCATGGTAACCATGCTGCTGTAAATGAATTTTCACATCAAAAAGCATACAAACATTCTGCCTTTTCCCACCTGCTTGTTTACTCTTTAAAACTGAAGGTTTTTTTTCTTTGACAAGCTCTGAACTATTCCCGATGTGTGGATCAAAGAAGCACAGAGGAAGTGTTAAAAAACAAAAATAACTTTTTCATGTGTGGGGTTCTTCTGATTTGCGTCCTGTTGAACCATTTTGTGGATATGGTAACAATCTAACTGAGGGGTATAAAGCCTGCAGACTGTATATAGTATTGGACCACCTGACATTTAAACTAGAAATATGTTGAACAAAAGACATATTGACCTCACAAACAACCATCAGGTGTCCAGCAGTGCAAAAACCCTATATTATGAATTTGTTAGGGAGGTACTAAACAGAGTAAACTGAAAAAAAATCCTCTATTGAAGCATTATTAGTATGAATATGATAATGCAGATAGTTCATACAGTAGGTAGAGAAGAATCTATGCCATGATCTACATTCAGCTCAGTTTAAATGGGGTTGGATTTAGAACAATATTTTGTTCCAGTTAGTCGCTTTCAGCTGGAAATTGATAACTTTATACTTAGCTTGTTGTGTTATCATTGTACTTCTTCATGCTACTTCCTTCTTTTTTTATTAGATTTATAAATGTCCTTATAAAAAAACATCAAACAAATCTGTGAGTTAGGCTTGCTTCCTTTAGATCAAAGAATATGTATTAATGTGTTAGGTGAGGCAAGATCCTCGACTTCACTAGATTTAGTTCAGAGACTTCTAGTTGAAACCTGACTAAGCATCAGCTATTTTGCCATGAATATTGGTTTGAATAAGACACCCTAAATGTGTATTTCTGGTGGAGATGTACACAGGTAGGGTTGTGGAATAGAAATTCAACTCCAACTTTTCTGTTTTTTATTTAGAAAATTACTGCAAGGTTACTCTTAATATTATAATGTTGAAGACATCTGCTGTGATTTCTTCAGAAATTTAGTTATAACCAAGTGGTTGAAAAAGTTAACATCTGGATGCCATCACGTGTAAACCTGTTTCAATATTAAGCAGCTCAGAACATCAATAAAGATCCTTTTTGTTGTTTCTAACATCAACCATTTGGTTCCATAGATATTTTTGAATTCTATCGATGGTTGTTAGATTCTGCCTCTGGATACCTGAGCAGCTGGTCCTTTGGGATTTTTGTGCCTTGGCAAGACCTCCAATATTCAGCCCACCTGAAACCATACACAGCTACTAATGAGCCTGAATCCTGTTTTAGCCCAACTATCCTCATCTGAGTGGGAAGCAAGATGATCTCAAAAGATGTGCACATATCTATATAGCTGCACTGGTCAGGTTTTCTATCTATACTATTTTTTCTACCACCTGACATTTTGTGCTGTGAGTTGAGGCACCACAGCTCCATCTCCTGGTCCCCTATCACACTGCAGCTTAAATGTGGATCAATTCTCCCAAGTACAGTTGTTGTTTTCTTGTCAAAAATGTACAACTCAAAGTATTTCATGAATAAATATCTGAGGTGCATCTTATATGAGAGCTCATTATTTTGTCTTTCTAGTATGTTATTAGTTTGCTTTTTGTTTTCAGTGCCAGAGAGAAAGAAATCACATAAGCAGATGTCATTATGCCCCCCCTCCAAAAAAAAATAAAAAATGAAAATAAGCATAGTCAACATAAATTATAAGTTTTATCCCATTTAATATTTTACTCTTGTCTGCATTCGTGTTGGGGAATTATAAATGCAGACTTTGCCCATGCAAGTATGTCAGGAACCTGGCACCTTTAATTGTAAGGCTTGTCATTAGCCCACATGGTATAGTGTATTTATACCTTCTCCTAGCTGGGAAAGGACAGTGTGTGATGGCAACATGACATGTCTAAAGGCTTGCAGCCAGTAATTATTTGAATTCACATCTGACTGCTTGAGATACTAATAATTTGCAGCAATCATTCTGAGCTCTCTGCTGCGCTGTCATGCAAGTAAATATCTCAGCTTCTAATGATAGCTATCACATTAACAGAACTTCACCTAAGTGCCAATTTATGGCACCTGGCAGATGTCATGGCAAACTCTGATCCATTTTGTGTACAGCCTCGATCAGCACAAGGGACAGCAGATGACTGGAAGCAGCATGCACACAAAGGAATATGTATATAAGAAAAACGTGTTTGCTGAGGGACATATGATTGTTAAAAAAAAATGGCTGGATGAGACAGTCTGAAGGCTATATTCAAGTTAGAATAGAATTTTTTTCATATTCAACCTCTTCAGAGGAGTACATGTGTGAAATAGAAAGGAAAAAAGAAATGTGATTGCCCTTTATACCTGAAATGGTAATTCTAAAAAAAAAAAAAGCATGCACAAAAGTTTTTACAGACTTACTTTGATTTAAAAAAAATGCAATAACATAAAAAAAAAAATACTAAAAAAAAAACAAAAACAAAAAGAGATGTTTGGGGATTTAGAAAAAACACAAAGCGGTGCATAACTCTGAGATGAAAGTAAAAAGGAAAAGGTTTTCAAATTTATGTGTATCTCTACCATATTTTCTAGAATCCCCTTTGGTCCCAGATACTGCTGGGGGTATTTCTCTATTTCGCTACTAGCTTTCTACATCAACAGACTGAAGTTTCTCCTTATGCTTCTTTGTAACGACGGTATCACTCAGACGAGATAAAGAGAGCATCTGTGTACAACAGCTTTTAAGCCTTGGCATAGATTCCCAGTCAGATTCAAGTCTAGCTTCTAGCCCATTCCAGCACATGGATATGCTTTGATCTAATTTGTTCCAATGAAGCACTGGCTGGAATTTCTGGGTCGCAGTCATCCTGGAGGAACAATCTTAATCCCAGTCTAAAGTCTTTTGTAATCTAATAGATTTCCATGCTGCATTTCCCTGACTTTAACTCCATCCATTTTGCCTTTATAAATAACAACATTCCTTCTCCTACTACAGGAATGCATCCCCACATTATGATGCTGCCACCATATTGGGGAGCATGTCATTTTCTGTTTTGTGTGTACAGAAAAAATAAATAAATAAAAGTGGTCCCGAGCACATTCCTCTGTGTTTTTGCTGTGTTCCCTACATGGCTTGAAACCAAAAACAGGACTTATCTTAGCTTTCTTTGGACAGTTTTCCCACATAATCATAAAGGCCAGAATTGTGGTGTGGTGGGACAATTTGAAATGTTTTTACTCTGTTTGTTTCACCTGTAAGGCTGAGAAAATGTCTGAGTGAGGGGTGGTTGTAGACAAAACATACTTATTCCCATGACAAGCCAAATTGTTTCTCAAGGTTTGCTAAAGTGCGTGTAATTTTTTTATTTTTTTACTCTGACACAGCCTTCACAGTGTTTTCATCAACATAAGTAAGGGAGGCAAACTGTCTAATCAGAACAGGGCAGACCATTGTGCTGGTGAGACGTTGTGAATGTCTTGTTCTCAATTTACTTTGCAAAGTAAATAAAGTGCTGACTGAGTAAAATCCATCGATCTCTGTTAATTTAACTGAACTGTATAGTTGAATACTTTTTTCCACTCTACAGTGTAGTGAAGACTAAAAGTTGACAGGTGAACAGAACTGAAAACCTGAGCTAAGGATCTCTACACAACTTATTATAAATGACCATAAGTAACATTCTGGGTGCTCTACAGATAAATACTTTTCATGTTTCTATTGTTCACAGATGCTCTTCCTTTTCTTTTTCTGAGGCTTTTAAAGATCAGGTGACTATATCCTAAGATTTAATTACATATTGATCCGATTTACTATTCAAGTGAATTGTGGCAGCGATTGGTGTACCTGGATCTTATTCAGGGTTGTTAGGAACTGGACGAAATGCAGCTAAACCTTTTTAAGATTTTTTTTGTAAAAGTTCAAATTAATAATGATTCTCTCATAGCTATGCACTACTTTATGTTGATATATATATATAAAAAAATAAAGGAAATCCATAAATATTTCTGGTTTTTATGTTACAAAATGCCTGAAACGTTCTGCGTGACACCGCAGCACTTCTCACTTGCATTCACTGATCCATGGAGAATTATGCAAAATGAAAACTGAAATTAAAAGCAAATCATGCCAACAGATGTAGGAAGGCATGCTTCTGTCATGCCATGTGAAGCCAGACTCCAGTTTAGTAAGTGGGTCTGAGACAGCAACATCTTCACATTAAAGAAAGGGTTACTGTACCACGCTGTGTCAGTGAAGTACTGCACTAGATGCTCCACTTCTAGCCAAAGGCGTTTTGCAGTGAGGAGGCAAAGGCAGAGAAGAAAGAATGAGGGAGGTTCAATCACATTCAGATTTTTTTTTTTTTTTGAGAGAAGAGAGTAGACTTTAGGATAGAATAGGTTTAGAAGACAGCGTGGATAAAAATAGCTGCAGGTTAAAAGCAACAGACCACAAAAAACACATTTTTATTGGGCTGGATATGTTTTGATCCAGAAGTAAAAGAAAGCTGGTTTCAAAAAAAGGTCACATGTTAGGTGAAAAAACAAACTTACAAAGTTGTGTGTAGTTAAGATTATTGTAATCAATTTTAATGTCTTCTTCTTAAGTATGAAAAAGCTCTTTTGGTGAAATTCCTTTCTAATTTGTTCAGAAAAGGAGATGAAGCCAGTGTTTTCCATTATCCACCTTTCACTGTGCAATATTTGTTTATTTTACCAGCTACACTATAAGGCCTGATTACACTGCAGCTAAATGCATTTACTAAAGACTGAGCTACATCCATATATGAAAAAAATAATCATAGGAACATCTGACATTGAAAAAACCCAAAATGTACTAAAATAAATGTACCTTGGCTACATTTTTTCCCTCATTCTCTATCATCCAAGGCTGAGTCCTGGTGAGATGTGTAAAAAGAAAGCAGCGTGGGCTCTTT